AAATGTTTTGAGAATGATGATGGCAACAAATGTACAAGTGTGCTTGACACAATGGATGGATGTGTGGATTGTGATAAGAGTTGTACGAGGCCCCAATAAAATGATTTAAAAAGACGTACACCTTGTGCGGCCGCTCTGGCTCCAAGGTCTGCCTTTTACAGAAGTCCACCTGTGGTTAATGTGGCTGCCTTGCCAAGTACAAGAGAGTGTATAACTGAAGTGCCAAGGCTAAGAGACAAACTACCACCAGTACTGGTCTATGAGGCACCTAAAAATTGTCTCCCGCAGATTCAGCCATGGATTTGTGAAGGTACTTTTAAAAAAAACCTTTTTATTAGGGGCTCATACAACTCTTATCACAATCCATACATACATCAATTGTGTAAACCACATTTGTACAATTCGTTGCCCTCATCATTCTCAAAACATTTGCTGTCCACCTAAGCCCCTGGCATCAGTTCCTCGTTTCCCCTCCCTCCCGGTTCCCCCCTCCCTCATGAACCCTTGATAGTTTATCAATTATTTTGTCATCTCTTGCCCTGTCCGACGTCTCCCTTCACCCACTTTTCTGTAATCCGTCCCCAGGGAGGAAGTTATATAGAGATCCTTGTGATCTTTCCTTTCCTACCCACCATCCCTCCACCTTCCCAGGATCGCTGCTCACACCACTGGTCCTGAAGGGATCATCCGCCCTGGATTCCCTATCTGTTTCCAGTTCCTATCTGTACCAGTGTACATCCTCTGGTCCAGCCATATTTATAAGGTAGAATTGGGATCATGATAGTGGGGGAGGAGGAAGTCTTTAGGAAGTAGAGGAAAGTTTCATCATTGCTGCATTGCACCCTGACTAGCTCGTCTCCTCCCGGAGACCCTTCTGTAAGGGGTTGAAGGTACAGCTCTTAAACCGGAGGGCAGCTGTTGCAGCGTCCATTTCATCTTAAGGGTTTCAACATTTACTGGTGCAGTACATGCTCTCATATTTGTAAAGAAAAGCAAGAAAAGAAATGAGGATTCGGAGACTTTGTCTCCCGTACTTTACACATGTTATCAGAAAGGTGCAATCCTGGATAAGGAGGACATCAGGCTCAGTATAGCACAGGGTCACTGAAAGAGAAAACCCTCAAGGAGAGGGATTGACCCAGCGGCTTTAAGAACGGGCTCAAACATAACCATGATTATAAAGGTGGCACAGGATCAGTCGGCATTGCACATAGCGTTGTACAGTGTTGGTGCTGTTGTACATAAGGTCACATAGGTTGTACATCGGTGAGTTGGAACCTACTGATTGGTACCTAATAACCACAATATGCCAAAAGACTGATACAGCTGACAAGTGTACAGGTGGTAATTACATACGTGTCTTTGTAACTCCCAGGGAGGAAAAAAAGCGAAAATTAAGGAAGAAAAAAGAATCAAGGAAAAACTAAAATTTATTGAATACAGTGCATCGTGTTCAGTAAGTCACAAATACACATATACAAGTTATAGAAGCTTAAGGGGCAAAAAGAACAGTGTATGTGCAACATAGCATTTAAAAGATGGAAGGGATTGTGAATGAGAAAACTTGAAACCCACATAAATGTGACCATGTTCATTTTTGCTCAGGAGGCCTGATTCCCAGGCAAATGCTCAATCCAGGACTAAGGGATTATGTGGTTTTCTTTAGCATTTCAAGTCTCCTGTTCAGATCTTCAAAATCAACCTCTTCTGAATCATAAGGGTCAATGGATGAGCTTGCTTGAAGTTTTACCTCAGGCAAATCAGGCAGCATAAAGTTATCAAAACCAATCTTGATTCTTGATTCTGACTTTGGAAGAGTTTGAGGGTTGAGTCCTGGACCTATTCATTGTAATAAAGGTAATTGATAGTCACACAACAAAGCCTTCCTCCAGAAAACCCAGTCTGAACAACAGTAAAGCTCATTGAATTTGAGAGAATAACATAGACAATGATCAGAAACCTGGACAATTCTCCTATTATGGAAATGATGGGAGTAGCAGCTTCTTTTTGTTGGCTATCTTTTTTCGAGCGCAAACCGGATTTTAAATGGAGCAAACTTTTTATTTCCCAGAAAGTACTAGGATGGTCTAGTGTGGTACTGATTTTTTAAAAAGATTTAAAAAAATCAAAGCCCTCTTTGACATCTTATGAAAGCAATGGGTAAAAAAAAAAAAAAAAAAAGCAAGCAATAACTCATCTCCCCACATACACAACATTTTGCCTCCCACTTCGGGGGCCTCCTGGGTGGAATCTAGGCCAATAACCCTTTGCCAAGATAAATAATGTTATGCACATTCAAGGCCCAACACAGGAATTCAATATGTTCACATTATACCACATTCCCATTGATGGGGTCTCTAATGTGAGTACCTTTATTTTCCTGCTAACATTAAACTGATGTGTAGAATCTGCTGAGAACTAGGAAGACCATACTCCATTTCAAAACACTGTCCACCTTGAAAAATGTTAGCTGCTAAATATAAAAGAACATTGCATCTCTGGTTAATCTATTAAACTGTTATCCATGAAGGAATAGTCTTAACACTCAAATATTTTCAATGAATCTCAAGCAACTCCTACTTCCACCAGCATTCCCTTCACTTACTAGGAGTCAGTGCAGGAAGCAAATCGTTCTTCTTACAGTCATTATTCTGAAAGGAAAAGGAAAAAAAATCGCTGGGAACTGATTGGCTTGTGCTCCAAATGCATTATTTTGTACATAGTAAGCTCCAAATAATATTTCTAAATTTTACATATAATTAACTAAATTTAAGTTGATCACAGTCAAGTTTCCTTTTTGTGTACGGGAATTTGTTTTTAGGGGAGGCGAATTTTATTTATTTAATTTTATTTCTATTTTTCCTGTGATCTTGAATTTTATTTACAACCCTTGGATAACACAGACTGGTGTGCTTCTTCCATGTGGCTGAAACTCATTTAGATGGCTGCTTGTCTTTGTTTTTTAATCATTTTATTGGGGGCTCATACAACTCTTATCACAATACATACATACATCTACCATGTCAAGCACATGGTACATTTTTTTTCTTTTTTAAATCATTTTATTGATTTAAAACTCTTATCACAATCCATCCATCCATCCATTGTGTCAAGCACATTTGTTCATTTGTTGCCATCATCATTCTCAAAACATTTGCTTTCTACTTGAGTCCTTGGTAATCAGCTCATTTTTCCCCTCCATCCCCACAACCCCCTCCCTCACGAACCCTTGATAATTTATTATTTTGTCATGTTTTACACTGTCAAATGTCTCCCTTCACCTACTTTTCTGTTGTCTATCCCCCAGGGAGGGGGTTATATATAGATCCTTGTGATCGGTTCCCCCTTTCTACCCCACCTTCTTCCCCTCCTGGTATCGCTACTCTCATTATTAGTCCTGAGAGGTTAATCTGTCCTGGATTCCCTGTATTTCTGGTTCTTATCTGTGCCACTGTACATCCTCTGTTCTAGCTGAATTTGTAAGGTAGAATTGGGATCAAGATAGTGGGGGGAGGAAGCATTAAAGAACTAGAGGAAAGTTATGTTTCATCATTGCTATACTGCACCTGACTGGCTCATCTCCTCCCTATGACCCTTCTGTAAAGGGGTTGCCTACAGGTGGGCTTTGGGTCTCCACTCTGCACTCCCCTTCATTCACAATAATATGATTTTTTTGTTCTTTGATGCCTGAAACCTATTCCCATCGACACCTCATGATCACACAGTGCTTCTTCCATGTGGGTTTTGTTGCTTCTCAGATAGATGGCTGCTTGTTTATCTTCAAGCCTTTAAGACATCAGACACTATATATTTTGCTAGCCAGGCACTATCAGCTTTCTTCACCACATTTGCTTATTCAACCGCTTTATCTTCAGCGGTTGTGTTGGGAAGGTGAGCATCATGGAATGCCAGTTTAATAGAAAAAAGTGATCTTGCATTGAGGGAGTACTTGAGGCCAATGTCCACCTGCTACCTTAATACTAAATCTACAAATATATGCAAATAGATATATTTCTCCATCATGATATATAAATATATTTACATATGTGCATGCCTGGATTTAGACCTCTGTAAATGCCCTTTGCCTCCTAGTTCTTTCCTCTATTTCCTTTTACTTTCTCTTATCCAGCTATTATGCTCAACTTTCATTTGGGTTTCAGTGACCCCTCTCAGTTACATTGCTCTTGATCAAGCCCTACCAGACATCCTACACCCTCCTCGCCATCGATTTTGGATGACTTATTGTTCGTAAGGGGATTTCTTGTGTTGTTTTGCTTATACTTGCTAGGAATTAGTTTTAGGAATGACTGTGTGCCATCTGTGGCATTGTACAGGAACCCAGGGAATCTTCCTCTTTGCATGTGGAGATGCTATTTATAAAAGATGGTTCGGTTTAATAAAATCAGGGGATTTTATTTTTGTTTATTTATTTATTTATTTTTATGTTTTGTTTTTATTTATTTTTTTATTCTTTTTTGTGAGAGTGAGTGAGTGAGTGAGAGAGTGAGAGTGAGT